GAGGACGATTGACAATGTTGAGTGTACTTCAGACTATTTTCTTTAAGAATAATAGATCTTTTAGGAGACAATCTTATTATGCAGTATGTGTTGAGATAAAACAATTCAATTTACTTAAATAATCGTAATACAATTATGTTATGACATTACCAATTGGGATACTCAAACTTTGTATACCTTTAAAATGTGTTATCTTCTCTATTTAGAAACAAAAATTTAAAATTTTCATTGTGTAAGTATGTTAATTGTTGAAATATACTTGTACTATATATCTTATATTGTCTACAAGAACTCTAAAGCATTTGGTATGATCCATAGTGATGTCTGAAGGTCATCTACAATCAACGATATTATTGGTACTAGATTTTTGTCATTTTTAGATGATCATACAAGAATTGCATAACTATTTCTCATTGAAGAAAAAGTAGAAGTTGGTCATATATTTAGAAAATTAGACAATGCAAAAGAATACTTTAAAAAAGAGTTAGCTGTAGATCTCAAAAAAGAAGGGATTATTAATCAAAGTTCATATGTTGATACCCCTCAATAAAATGAGATAGCTGAAAGGAAAAATTGATATTTCTTGGAAGTTGTCCATTCCCTCATGTTCACAACTCAAATTCTAAATTTTTTTTGGTGAGAATCTATTCTAACTGCAACTTACTTTATCAATAGAATGCCTTCTCGAACTCTTGAGTTTCAAACACCCTACTAAGTTATATTCTAATCTTTTCCTACCACTCGACTTCTATCTATCCTACTTATCAAAGTCTTTGATTGTTCAGTTTTTATTTATTTTTTTCACATACACAACTATTACTGAAGTAAACTAGACCCGAAATTAATAAAATGCATGTTTGTTGAGTATTTATCAAAGTAAAGGGGATATAAGTGTTATTCACTAGTTATCTGAAAGTTTTATAACTCAATGAATGTCACATTTCATGAAAATTAACCATATTGCAAAATTGGTATTTAGGGAGAGAAGAATACACAAGAATCCCAATTCTGGAATTCTGCCATTGAATATCTTCATTCTCATCCAATTAAATCCGTTCGGTCTCCAAAATGCATAGATCGAGATGAGATACTTATACCTGAGCTTACTCACCACACTACAAAATTTGAATTTTAGGTGTATAATAGAAGGAACAAAGAAAAAAAAAGAAGTCACAACCTTTTTATTAGAGTCATGAATCCAACCTAGATCTAACTTTAGCATCACTGAATATTTCAGGTAATTCAAGTTCAGATATCTCCATTGATAATATGTATGATGATAGACCGATTGCGTTAAGAAAACAAAAAAAAAGTATGTACTGATAATTCAATTCTCAATTTTGTTTCATACAAAGGCCTTTCATCAATTAACATGGTATTTATTAGCAATATTGATAAAATATAGATACCAAGAGCGATACATGAAACGGTAAAAGTACTCCAATGGAAAATTGCAATCATGGAAGAAATTCATGTCTTTGAAAGGAATAAGATTTGAAAAATAATAGAAATTATCACTTGGAAAATACCCAATCGATAGTAAATGAGTGTTCACAGTTAAGTATAATTCTAATGGTACTATCAACAGGTATAAAGGATGGTTAGTAATTAAAAATTTTACTCAATCCTAGGAAATCGATTATCATGAGATATTTGCATTAGTAGCAAAGCTTAATATAGTCTGGATACTAATGTTTTTAGCTGCCAATCCTGATTGATTGCTATTCCAACTAAATGTGAAAATGTTTTTCTTAATGGAGAACTAGAGGAAAAAGCCTATATAGAGATACCACCAGGTTTTGAAAGTCAAATCTCTAACAGAGAGATCTGAGACTCAAAAAGTCCCTATACAGACTCAAACAATCTCCAAGAGCATAGTTCAAAAAATTCATTAAAGCAATAAAGATGTATGAATATAATTAATGCCAAATAGGTCATACTATGTTTATCAAGTATGATCCTTCAAGAAAGAGGGCAAACCTCATTGTATATACAAATGATATAATAATAAAAAAAATGACACATAAGAGATATTCAGATTAAAAAAAGTTTTAATTAAAGAATTTGAAATTAAAGATTTAGGAAATCTCAAATATTTTTTGGGAATGGAAATTGCTACATTAAAGAAAGAAATCTTAATTTCTCACCAAAAATATGTGTTAAATCTTTTAAAAGAAACTAAAATGTTTAGATGCAAACTCGCAGACACATCTATGAATCCCAATATTAAACTAGAAAGTAAAATTAATAATGCTCTAGTTGACAAAGAAAGATATCAACGTATAGTAGATAAATTGATTTATCTCTTACATATTAGACATGATATCAATTTTGCATCAATATGGTAAATCAATTCATGAACAACCCAATTGAAAAACTTATTGATGCAGTATTTTGAATTCTCAAGTACCTAAAAATGATAGTCGGATAAGGACTATTTTTTCAAAAGAAAAATAGAAGTAAAAAAATTTAAATATATACTAATGCAGACTAGGATGGTTCTATAATTGATATAAGATTCACCATTGGATATTGTACATATGTGTAGAGAAATCTAGTTATACAGAAAAGTAAAAAGCAATAAGTAATATCAAGTAGTACTGATGATGAGTTTGGAGATTTAACACATGGTATCTTTGAAGGAATGTGGCTACAAAGAGGTTTTTTGTGAATTGATAATTTCCTCTTCAAAGCTTATGAAAATGTTGTGACAATCAATCCACAATAAGTATAGCAAAAAATTCAGTTCATTATGATCAAACTAAGTATGTAGAGATTGATAGATACTTTATTAAGGATAAAATAGAGTTGGGTGCCCTCTTCTTGTGGCTCATTTAATCTTGCCAACGAACTGCGGATATTTTCGCCAAGGCATTACTTAGGAGGACTTTTAAAGAACTGAGTTCCAGACTTGGTTTGCTCAACATCTTCAATCCAGCTTGAGGGGAAATGTAGGAGTCCGACTTCTTGTAGAAGTCCAATTCCTATACGAATTAGTATCTTAAGAGAAATCTCTCTATTAATAAGAATCATAGTTAACTTCTATAACTAAGATATTTTTTTTTTATTTGACTAATTATATTTAGTTTTTTATTAAAACTCTCAAATTTTTTCCTATATATTCAGATATTGTAAATTAAGTATTAGAAATAAAAAGTTAATAAATAAAAAATTTAATTACAAATGTTTACTGTGCTTTGCTAGAAATTTATGAGATCTTCAACAATAAAACTCTTAGCACTATTGAAATCTCTGATCTGGTGAAAGTCAGGCTTGTTTGGTAAGTTAGGGCCTTTCAAAGAGTTTGGCAACATTTCCATTGATCAACTCTTGCCCTCTCTTGATGTGGGGCACGGCGAGAGTATGCACACCATTGGATACAAATCTAATGTTTGGCTTGCTCCATCTTTTGGTGAAATCAAGTTTAATATTGATGCCTCTGCTTTGGGGAAGCTGGGACTGACCATGGTTGGTGGTGTCTTAAGGAATGCCCAAGGTTTCATGAAATGTATGTTCTCCACGATTGTGGGGGTTATGGATCTTAATCAAGCCGAGCTGCTTGCGATCAATGAGCCATCACTATCTTGGCTGTTGACAACTGGGTTAGGGACCATATTATTACTGTGGAAAGTGACTCCTTTGTGGTTAGGTTGGATCAAGAATAATTCCATCCTGTGGAGACTCAACTCAGTTGCCAATTCGATTGTCAATGGATGTGGCCAAGTAGAATCAGGTCCATTTCATCCACACCAACCGTGAGAGGAATTTCTCGCTGACTCGTTGGCCAGACAAACAGAGCAAAAAGGACGCTCCTTTCCTTGATTGGCTCTGATATGCTCTTCTCCCTGCCTTCTCTGTTTCCGGGTGGTTTGCTGCTGGTTCTGCTGGCTTTCTGCTGCTTTATCTGTTTTGTGTTCTTGTTCTGTTGTTTTGCTTTTTTCCTGTGCTTCCTGTGCCTTTGGTTGTTCTGTGTCTTTGTGGTGTCTGGGTTTATCGCCCCCTTTTGTGTGGCCTCACTTTACTGGCTTTTCTATGTTGCTTGGTTTTCTGGTGTTTCTTGCAGATCTGTTTGGCTCCCTTGGGTCTTTGTTCTTCTGTTACTTCCCTTGTATCTAAAAAAAAAAGTACGAGATACATGCAATTTTATATTTGTTTCTGCAGATTCATATTCTATACTCAATGAGACAAACATTGGGATGATGGGTCCTGGAGCCCCAGCACATGCAGTAGGTCCTACACCTGAAATTGGAGAACAATTCCATGGGGCATCACTTTATGGAGCAGACTTATTTCATGAAGACGATATGTATTCACAAATTGAAGAGGAGACCTCTGGATGGAATCTTTTGTACCCTCATAACTTACCAGAGATAACCAGTGGACGATTACCAGAGATAAACATCAAGTATCCACCAACTTTTTGTTTTGTGATTATGGTCTATGTTAATCTTATAGTCTTGGTTATGTTTGTTCGAGTTTCTCTACTCTATTAAACCTTAATTTTAGTATTTTTCTTCTCAATTTATTATGATGATAATAAGCTTGGTAGTTTTTATGTGCAATTGCTTCCCGTATGCTAATATTCACTCTCAGAATCTAAACATCATCCTTGACAATGTCTAAGCTCGAAACCTGCCCTCATCCCTCTATTTGAGAAGGTCCTGGTTCCTAGCGATGCTGATCCTTGCAGAGGAATGTTGTTCCTACCCAAGCTATATTCGGAGGTGAGTTTTGTATGCTATTATATTCTGTGTCAAATGTGTAGTGTAACATAGGATTCCTTGACTGGAGGAGAAATTCTAGGCAGGTATTATGGTAAGGTTGTGTGCCTACATAGAGTATGTGTCTGGAGAGAACGTGCATGCAGGTTGAGCTTTTTCATGGTTTTTTGCTATGGCTAGCCCTGGCTGGCTGAAGCAACCATGCATATTTCTAGTGGTGGGAAATAAATTGTTTGGTAGAGCCTTAGAAGGAGGTTTTTGACATACTGTGCATCATGGAAAATGGTATCTGGAATAGGATCTCTGTCTACCTTTTCGATAAGGAGATTAGATGGTTTTGAAAGCTTTGAATTTTACTAGGTTACAGGTCATAATACATGGAGCAGAAAACTTGTTGGAGATGATCGAATCATTAGTCTTCATTTGAGAAATGTACTACTACTTCAACATAATCACAAGAGCAATATCTTTTAGTTTATTCCTTTAAGTGTCTTCTCTGTAGATAAGAAGGGTTAAATTCTCAGGAAGGTGTGAATGGAATAAAAGGAGGTAACTGGAGGAGGTTTTTTCTAGATTGATGGGTGGTGGAACTTGTTCGTAATTGTGAGTGTTGTCTATGTGCTGAGTATGACAGAGGCAAGAAAGGAGGCGGTAGATCAGCCAGCTTGATAA